CACTTGTGGAAGTTCTCTTCTCTGTGTCTGTCTCTGTAACTCTACTAAGAGAATCAATGGCGAGTTGCTTCAGCTACGTGTCTTCTCGTAACAAATGTTACCAATACAGCTTCTCACGCGCCGGTCTCCGATCATCTACCTCYGATCTCGGCGACGGCACCGTCGTCCACTGCTGGGTCCCACAAACCCACATCGACACCAAGCCCACGCTCCTCCTCCTCCACGGGCTCGGAGCTAACGCCATGTGGCAGTGGGACCGGTTCATCGACCGGTTTATTTCCCGGTTCAACGTATACGTACCGGACCTCATCTTCTTCGGCGAGTCATACACGACTCGGTCCGACCGGTCCGAGTCTTTCCAAGCGAGTTGCGTCATGAAAGTGATGGATGGTCACGGTGTTCGGACCATGACCGTGGCTGGTCTAAGCTACGGTGGGTTTGTGGCGTATTCAATAGCGGCGCAGTTTAAGGAGAGGGTGGATCGAGTTGTGCTAATATGCGCCGGTGTTGCTTTGGACGAGAAAGATGTTGAGGAAGGTCCGTTTAAAGTTAAGTCCCCGGAGGAAGCGGCGATGCTTTTGTTTCCTCAGTCTCCGACTCTGCTCCGGAGACTTCTCAAGTTAGCTTTTTACAAGCCTCCGATTTGGATCCCTTCTTGCATTGCCATGGACTACATTCATGTAAGCTTCAAAAGTTTAGTCCTTTTGTATATTCATTTTATGGGTTCTTATAAGTTTGAGTTTCTATACAAATGTTTGTGTGATTATGGTGTTGAGTTCTTGTTTTCGCTTTGAATAGCATTAATCTTTGATGTTTACTAGATCAATATAGTAGCTGTCTTTGCTTTGACTGATTCGATCTTGGGAATGTGTTTTGATGCAAGGTGATGTGTAGAGATTATCTTCAAGAAAAGAAGGAGCTTGTGGAAGCTTTACATATTGGTAGGCGATTCGCCAATCTTCCAAAGATAACACAGGTCTTTATTCATAGTGATCTATTGATTCGGTTTAATTCGTCTCTTGAATCTCTTTGAATGTTCTCATTTGTGTGATTGGCTCATTATGTAGCCAACATTGATGATATGGGGAGAGGAAGATCAAGTTTTTCCAGTCGAATTGGCGCATAGATTGAAAAGGTTGTTACTTTTATCTGATTTCACACAAATCATCATTTTCTCACTCGGGTTAATGACCGATAAATGCTAGTATTTATCTGTCTTTGATTCAGTCATTTAGGGGAAAACAGAGCACAATTAGTGCTACTAAAGAAGACAGGACATGCGATTAATGAAGAGAAACCAAAGGAGATGTACAAACACATGAAATCTTTTCTTTGCACTGATGCAATGATTCCTCCAAATGACAATGCTAAGAGACTCATTTTAGCAAGCTTAATATCTCCAAATCAGATCAACAAGTGATGTTACTTCAAAAGTTATTACAAGTCCTTTCTTTTATCCATTAATCATGTTTAGCTTGTCACTAAGTGTGATTTACTACTTAGGACATTGTTATTACAAATAAACCCTATGTTATATCTTTACTGTTTAAGACATTGCTTCTTGTTGGAATTAAGAATACTTTTATCTGAAGAAAGTAAAAGATTTTATATGCTTTGTGATGAACATTTTGAAGGCTTGAGGGTTTCTTGAGGTTCAAAAGTCATAGCTTAAAGCTTGAAGCCTTTAAAACACTATATTTGTATGTGTCCTCTTAAAGCTTGTATGGTATTCGTTCGATTCATCTCAATTAATCATAGGGTTTATTTGATTATACATATAACTTATTTTGGGTAATATTTGCGAAAACGACAATGTAGCTTTTTCGTAAATAAATGGTGTATTTTATTATGCGTGTTAAAGAAAACAATTAATTAGGTAGAAAACCATGTTAGTGTGCAATATTATTATAAGATAGCGTCTCGTAGTATAAAATGGGTCAATTACAAAAATCCTATTTGTTGTGTGCACATTTGCAAGAATGCCATTTAGATGTGTCCATTTACAAAAATGCCACTAATTATAGATTTATAAAGCCTATATCTTAAAATTTTAAATCCTAAAAAATGTTTTGACACCTAAAACCCCCTAAACACTCAAAACTAAACCCTAATAGAACATAATTAACCCAAACATAAATAATATAAAATTTTTTTTTTTGAAAAAGTGGCATTTTTATAAAGATTTCAAAAGTGTGGCATTTTTGTAAAGTGGCACTTGAAAAATGGCATTTTTTAAAATTTCTCTATAAAATAACATGATATTTAAAAAATATCTTTAAAGTCGTGGTGTTTTTGAAAATGTTGAGAATAATATATGTTTCTTTGAAAATGTTTCAATGGTTTATACCATTTTTTTTACACCAAAATGGAGTAACACGAAAATGGTGTTGAATTTTGCTCCAATGGTTTACACCAAAATGGACTATTCTTAATAGATTTTCTTTTTCAATTCTTTAAAATACAAATCAGCCCCACTTATTTTCTTAAGTTTAAAAAATTATGAAATAAATTAAATCTAACAATTATTATATGAAAGAAATACATTATAACATATCAAATAACAAAATATATTAAGTTTTTGTTTAATTATTATCAAAATATTAGATTTTGGGTTTAACCATCACAATTTGTATATGTTTTTCATTGATTTTAAGGGAAAATTGCAAAAATGCCACTTTTTATGTGCACATTTGCAAAAATGTCACTTAGGGGTGCTCATTTGTAAAAATGCCACTAATTATAGATTTTTGAACTCTATATCTTAGAATTCTAAACACTAAAAAATATTTTGACTCCTAAACCCTCATAAACCCTCATAACTAAATCCAAATAGAACATAATTAATCCAAACATAAATAATATAAGGAAAAAATAATTTTGAAAAAGTGGCATTTTTGTAAAGATTTCAAAAGTCTGGCATTTTTGTAAAGTGGCACTAGAAACGTGACATTTTTTGAAATTTCTCTAATTTTAAAGTTGATTAAAATTTGAAAGACTTTTTTATAAATAAAAAAGTTCAACACCAAAATGGTGTAAACCCATTTTCTATGTTACACCAAAAAAATAAGTTTGGTATAAAATTTGGTGTTGGGTTGGAGATGCTCTTAGAAAACCATTTTGCCTTAACTTTTTCATAATTATTAAAAAATGATTTAGTTTCTCTAACTTTCTAATTTTATGAATGCAGGTGACCTCTAACTTTCTAATCTATCTACCTCTCCGGTGGGTTAAATAAAAATACACAGAGTCCTATATATAATAGTTGAGTTTCAGATTGATACATAAAACCACCCATAATGGGTGTTAAATTTTTTTTCAACGGTTGAATACCCACAATGGGTGTGTTGAATAAATCTTAAAATCTATGTGTATTAAATTGTGTTGAATTCTTTCAACAGGTTGAATTAAAAAATATTGGGGTCCACCAAAAATAATGTGGCACAAACTGATTGCACCATGGAGGGGATGTGTTGTACACGCGAGAGAGACGCGAGTGAAAACAATAGAAAACTGATGCAGAACAAAAAAATA